AGCAACTCTATCAGCGGACTGATGCAGGGGAGAGAGTGAGTTTGGCTCCAGCAACTCCTTCCTCGCTATAACGCATTTTCTTTACTATAGAAGAAGGTAAGGCGTTCTCTGGGACCAGGAGTGTATTAGTCCGACGTTTCGAACTCTCCCGCAGCTCATTGTCAAGAAATGAAAAAACGTACAGCTCACAGTGTAATTAAGTCGGTTCTGCCGGGATTGACCTCTGCTCTTTACCATAAAAAATCTGACAGACCTTTAAAACTATCACGATGCGCTATACGCCGAGGCCACTAAGACTGCTCACTGACGGAACAAGTGGGTTTCCCCCTCAGGATGGAGAGTCTGACTGCAGTAGCTTCTTATTTGTTTGACCTCTACGGCACGCCCACTCAGTAAGGATCTGAGCGGTCTCATTCCTGTTTCGGTTAAAACCTGGTCCTTCGGGCGATCACCAGACGTGTGTAGCACGCATAAAAATGTTGTTTAGTTTTGTCAGCAATTGTGTTCAATCCCATCTCCGGTCTTCTTGGTACATACCGGGTTTAGGGCGGTGTGAGAAGGGAGCGGGGCAAATGCTGCGCTAATCTATCACGAACAAATCACCATCCCTCCTGCTGCAGGGCAAACTGTGGACATCGTTCGCGACGGTCGAATGCATATGACGAACTCGTCAAATACTTTCTGTCACAATGGCATCGCAGTTTTGTGGCAGATGGTTCATGCTTTACTGCCACCTACCGACAAACTATTGTAGCTGGCTCTTGACCTTCTTGCATTGCTAATTAAGGCATTTAATGTTCGATGGATAGCAAACAGGCGCACGGATAGTAAGATTTGTGGTGACATTTTCGAATGCTACAGATTGCTGGTCTGAGCATTCTCCATATCGACTTCTGAATTCGCCGTCAATTTCACCCAATATCCACAACAGGCAGGTCAAGTAGAAAAGTTTAAGGAAGCTGTCGATTATGAATTTGCCATAGAATTGGATATCTGAAATTACTTGAACTAAGCATTATTACCATCGGGTTTTCTGCTGATCAGCGGTAATCCTGTGTTCTATTGTGCCTGTCGGTCTCAGCTGTCCTTGATATCGTACACTTCCACATATCACATCTTAATGGCCCCATTCCCTGA